AGTCTAAACCAGAGCCGGGGTGACATGCCCTCTCCCTCCCCTTCCTTCCCTAAGCACCCTGTCAATCACAAAGTCCTTGCTGCTTCTACCTCATAAATGCAGCTGGACTCTTGTCCCCTTCCGTCCATCCCAATGGCTACTACCTTAGTCAAGGCCACCTCCATCTGTTTCGTTTTTTAATCACATTGTCTGCTTTTTGCTATTGAGGTGTATGAGTTTATATATTTTGGATATTAATCCTTGTCAGATAAATGGTTTACAAATATTTCTCCCATTTGGTAGGTTGTCTTTTTTGGTTTCTTTTGCTGTGCAGAGCGTTTTAGTCCTATGTAGCCCCATTTACTTATTTTTGCTTTTGTTGCTTTTGCTTTTAGTATCAAATCCAAAAATATCATTGCTAAGACTCATGATAAAGAAGCTTACCTATTGCCCATGTTTTCTTTTAGGAGTTTTATGGTTTTTAAGTCTTATGTTCAAATATTTAATCTATTTTGAGTTAATTTTTATCTATGTGTAAGATAGTGGCCCAGTTTTTGTTTTTTGCAAGTGCCTGTCCAGTTTTCCCAGCTCCATTTATTGAAAAACTGTTCTTTCCCCATTGTATATTCTTGGCTCCGTTGTTGTAAATTAGTTGACCATATATGCATGGGTTTATTTCTGAGCTCTCTATTCTGTCCTACTGACCTATGTATCTGTTTTTAAGCCAATACCGTACTGTTTGGATTACTATAGCTTGTAATATAGTTTGACATCAGGAAGCATGATGCCTCCAGCTTTGCTCTTCTTTCTCAAAATTCCTTTGGCTATTGTACTTGATTTATGCCTCATTCACAGTAGTAGTGCCAGGTGGAAAATAGACGGTGATGTTCACTCATAGCTTGGCAGCTCAGTTTGTATGTGTGAATATTTGGGGCACAGATAAAGAAGGGATAAAACAAAATAGGGTGATTAGGATACGGGGCCTAGCATGGTTCTGTGCCATGCCGGCACAGCCAGGTTCGGTGAGCCGGAGAGGGGGCAGTGAAGGGTTAAGAAAAGACAGACAAGCCGAAACCGGTTTGGCTCAGTGGATAGAGCATCGGCCTGCGGACTGAAAGGTCCCAGGTTCGATTCCGGTCAAGGGCATGTACCTGGGTTGCGGGCACATCCCCAGTGGGAAATGTGCAGGAGGCAACTGATCGATGTTTCTCTCTCATCGATGTTTCTAACTATCTCTCTCCCTTCCTTTCTGTAAAAAATCAATAAAATATATTAAAAAAAAAAAAGACAAGAGAAGAAAGCTGGGCCTGGGTGGGACGCTGCCCCCTCTGATGGAGAGAGACAGTGCCACGGCCTGCAAGCCGAGTCTTTATTTTATAGCCAGATTCCGTGAGGCAAAGTAAGGGCGTGGTCAAGATGGTTCCAATGATCTCCTGGGTTTCCAATCTACTCAATTACATGCACCTGATCAAGTTTTGTTTACTTTCTGCACCTCCCACAGCTTCTATCACTTAGCCACGTGGGACCACAGGTTCGGACCATAACCTGTGCAAACACTGTAGCCGCTATCCACAACTCCCTCTTTTTTCCTTTTTGTTTTTTGTTTTTAAACACTTTCATTTACATCATCAAAAGCTGTGGGCAAGTATGCAGCATAACCAAAACATCAGAACAAAACTCTAGCTAATGACAAAACAACCAACACAGTAATGTTAATGTAATACAGCAACGAGAGAGAACAAAACTCTGGCTATTAACAAAACAGTAACAAAAAAATGCTAATGCAACACAGCAATAGAGAAATCAAACTATAGACACGTTAAAGTTTCTTTGCTGCTGGTAGATATCTACTCAGAGTCCTCAGATTTGGCTGCGCAAAGACTTTACAGAACACTGACAGCTTACCAAGGCTAGCATAGCCAGAAACATGGTTGAGGGAGTAGCTTCCACTCCTTGCTTTTCTACCATCTGCTGCTAGCTTCTTCAGCAGACCCCATGTTGGTACTTCAGTCCCTTGCGTAGATCTTCTGCATCGCAACTCTCAGTCTTCTGAACGGAGGAACAAGGAGCTTCTCTGGGTCTCCAGCACCTCCTCCAGCTGCCGGTGCCGCTTCTCCGTCGCCTTTGTTATCTTTCACATCGCAACTCTCAGTCTTTTGAATGGAGTGACAAGGAGCCTGTCTGGGTCCACCATGGTGATGCACATCGTGCGCTGGCACCCAAATCAGCTGCTTCGCTCCCTCTGGATTCTGAGGATCAGGCTGCTTGGACGGTTGGCTTTGGGACTGAGCCGGCACCAGTCCCAGTCAGCCCGCCGGCGCCGGTGGAAGTCCGGTCCCTTCCTCAGCTTCTTCAGCCGCTGCTGCATGGAGTCCTCTCCCGCAAGCGAGCAGCCCTCGGTCCTGCAGAGCTGGAGACCGCCAACTCCGAGTCTGGCGCCCCACACAGACACAAAGTTCCAGGGAACTATCAGGTCATCCAACAGTCAAAGCTCATATTGAGGTCGGCATCCACCGACCACAGCAGACAGCCCTTAACAAAATGCCCTGGCCTGGCTCTGAGCATCCCGCTGACCAGGGCTTCCATCCTTTGCTTTACAGTTCCTAACAAAACTTAAGTTAAAAATGCTTCACTAAGCATTGTTTTAGGGATCCTGAATTTCCCATGTTTTACACCCAGCGACTACCAAACCTCGCTCCCTACCCTACTTTCCCCTTACTTTTACTTTCTGCACGTGCCTCAAGGGAGCCTCCTTTCACCTTGCAATTTTAGTTCCCCCGAACTCGGGCCCCACGTTGGGCACCATATGTGCCATGCCCACACGGCCATGGGTGAACCTAAACTCGGGCCCCTGTTCCCCATACTCAGCCCCACATTGGGCGCCATATGTGCCGCACCAGCACAGCCATGTTCGGTGAGCCTGAGAGGGGGCAGTAAAGGATTAAGAAAAGACAGACAAGAGAAGAAAGCTGGGTCTGGGTGGGACGCTGCCCTCTCTGATGGAGAGAGACAGTGCCACGGCCTGCGCCTGCAAGCCGAGTCTTTAGCAAAGTGAGGGCGTGATTAAGATGGTCATAACGTTCTCTTGGGTTTGGAATCTATTCAATTACACGCACCTGATCAAGCTTTGTTTACTTGCTGCACTTCCCGCAGCCTATATCACTTAGCCACGTGGGACCACAGGTTCAGACCATAACCTGTCCAAACACTGTAGCTGCTTGCCACATGGTTCCATCTACTAAAGCAGTGGTTCTCAACCTTCCTAATGCCATGACCCTTTAATACAGTTCCTCATGTTGTGGTGACCCCCAACCATAAAATTATTTTCGTTGCTACTTCATAACTGTAATTTTGCTACTGTTATGAATTGTAATGTAAATATCGGATATGCAAGATGTATTTTCATTGTTACAAATGGAACATAATTAAAGCATAGTGATTAGCCACAAAAACAATATGTAATTATATATGTGTTTTTCGATAGTCTTAGGTGACCCCTGTGAAAGGGTCATTCGACCCCCCAAAGGGGTCACGACCCACAGGTTGGCGACCCACAGGTTGAGAACCGCTGTACTAAAGGATGATGGACAGGCTCCCTGACATTGATCACTTGACCCTAGTCAGCAAGTGGCAGGTACATGCAGAGGGGTTGGTAGTCCCCAAAGATCCACTCACCGGCTTAAAGAACCTTGTGCTCTTGTACATGCCCAGTACTTGAGTACCGTTACCTATTGGCTCATACTGAGCTGCCCCAATCCACTCACATGCCCAGTTTCCTCTCTGAGTCTGAACCCTAGAATCACTGGAGCACAAAGGTCAATTACCCACCTCATTGTCTTCAGGCAATAGGGTGACCAGCCATTCCAGCTGCCCAGGGCTGGGGGTTTCTTAGGATACGGCGCTTTCATTGCTGAAACTGGGACAGCTGGTCACCACGATAAGGCAGGCAAGTGAGACCCCTGTTCCAGCTCATTTCCGATGCCTCCTCTCCCAGGAAGCCTTGCCTTGTCCTCCTTTGCTAGGACAATCTTCCCCTCCATTGACCGTCGTTTGTGCCTGTCCATGCCTGAACTCCACATTCATCTCTACTCCAGGATTTGAGTGAATGAGGCAAGAGTTAGAGGACATCTTGTTGCTGTGTGCCCTGTGTGCACCAGCTGAGGAGTAGAGTGGGCAGTGGCAGCAGGCTGGGTGACCTGCTTGGGGCTCTGCTATTCAGCTCCTTTTCACAGCTATCGAGTGAATGTCTGCAAAGCTGGCTCAGATATCACTCTTTGAAACATTTAATTACATATAACGATCTTGAAGGCTGTCTGTCACCTCGCAGGGAAACATTTCTTTTTCCTGTTCCTTCTGAAGTTGGCTGCCTGAAAAGTAATGAAATTGAACTGAAGATGAAGCAACCAGGGGTGTAGGCAGTATTGATTGGGAAAAGCATCGGGGGAGAGAAATGGGAGGGGTGACTGAAAGATGGAGCCAGGGGAGGGGCAGGAAGTTAGAAGACATGTTCATAGAAGGTGAGGTGCAAGAGGTGAGAAAACTAATGAATCTCGGAAAGAGAGGGAAAGGTAGAGAGATGGGAACAGGGCTGGGGAGGTCCCCCAGAGGAGGAGGGCCACAGAGAAGAGGAGTGGCAGACCCTAAAAAAGGGCCTGGCGGAGAGGAACAGAGACCGCCAACGAGAAGAGTTTAGCAAAGGCAGAGGGAGGTCCCCCGCGGACAGTTCCAGAAGGTCCATACAGGGGAGGGGCTTCGGGGGCTTTGGCTGGAACGGGCTGGTCGGGACTGGGAGAAGCGTTGAAGAAGTCAACTTCTTAGCCTGTGTGACTGATTATTCTGCTGGCTTAGGGAAGAGCTGATGGCGGCTAGGAGGTGCCAAAGCTTCCACCAGATACCCCCTCGCTGCCGCCTATTGGGGAAGAGGGAAGCAGAGATGGAAGGCCGCTTCGGCTTTGTTCCCCCGCCGCCATCCCAAGGAGAGTCCACTGGGCCCTCACCCTGACCCGCTCCCTCTCTTGCAGGCTGCGACAGCGACCACTGGGGCCCCCACTGCAGCAACCGGTGCCAGTGCCAGAACGGCGCCCTGTGCAACCCCATCACCGGCGCCTGCGTGTGTGCCCCTGGCTTCCGCGGCTGGCGCTGCGAGGAGCTCTGCGCACCGGGCACCCACGGCAAGGGCTGCCAGCTGCCCTGCCAGTGCCGCCACGGTGCCAGCTGTGACCCACGCACCGGCGAGTGCCTCTGCGCTCCCGGCTACACCGGTGTCTAGTGAGTCAAGTGGCAGCAGGGTGGGGAAGGGGGTGGGTCCCGCTGACCTGTTGGCAGCTGCATGGTCCCGGGATAGTCCTGGCTGTAAAATAGCCTGGTCTCTCAGCCTCAATCTGCAGAGGCTAAATGCCCAGACCTTGCTCACGCCATGGGGTACATGGTGCCAGCTGGGACTATGCATGGAAGGGCGGGCGCTCCCACGGCCAGAGGAGCTCACTACACTCCTCCCAGGAGTCCCTTGCTGGTCAGGGCCCAGACCTTACCTTGTGATTCTCTTCTGATCATAACCCACATGCCTCTGCTCACCTGGGTCCTGGCGCTTCCAGGCCACTTAAACCAGAGGTGAGGGCCCTGACCAGATACCATGCATAGATTTGGGTAGTTTACTCTGCCTGTTCCTCTCCCCTACCTCCTTCCCTCAGACCCCAAATAGAGACTCTGGCTCCCTGGAGAGTCTGTATTGTCAGGGGACCTCTAAGACTGCTTTGTTGAGACCCACTCAGAGGCAAGATTGAAGCCTCTCCCTCTCTCTCTCTCTCTCTCTCTCACACACACACACACACACACACACACACACACTCATTGAAGCCCTAGATCAGGGGTCCTCAAACTTTTTAAACAGGGGGCCAGTTCACTGTCCCTCTGACCGTTGGAGGGCCGGACTATAGTTTAAAAAAAAACTATGAACAAATTCCTATGCACACTGCACGTATCTTATTTTGAAGTAAAAAAACAAAACAGCAACAAATACAATATTTGTATTTGCATGTGGCCCGCGGGCCGGGGCCGTAGTTTGAGGACCCCTGCCCTAGATCCTGATTGAGGGTGGTCCCTGCCCCTATGTCTGGCCAGCTGCAGGGCTAGCTCCAGCCAGAGGCCACAACCCCATGCCCATTCCTACACATGAGCCTGTCGTGGTAACTGGGAGCCTTCCAGAGCCTGGCCTGGGGTATGCCCCAGATTCTCCCTTTCTCTGAATATAGGTAAACTCTTGAAGGCAGGATCCATGGCCACTTCTGTGTCTGTGCCCATGCTGTTCCTCCGCCTGCCATGCCCTTCCATTCTCCCAGTGAAACGAGCTTCAACTTCAAGGCCCAAGTGGAAGGTCTCCTTAGGGAAGCCTTCCTAGCCCTCCCTCCCAGAGGAACACTGTTTACACTGAAAGCACCTACGCCCTCCCACAGGTCCTGGCCCAGGCACACAGTCCAGTTCATTATGTCTGAGCCCTGCTTCCCCCTCCTGGCAGGAAGCAGGACTGCATCGCAGCTGACCTGTGCCTAGTACACTAATTCCTAGGGAGCCCTGAAGCGTTGGGACTGGCAGCACTGGGCCCAGCACTGGTGCTGCTGCATCTAACACCTCTTCTTCCCCATGCAGCTGCGAGGAGCTGTGCCCACCTGGGAGCCACGGGGCTCACTGTGAGCTGCGCTGCCCCTGCCAGAATGGGGGCACCTGCCACCACATCACTGGAGAGTGTGCCTGCCCCCCAGGCTGGATGGTAAGTGGGCCCGGGTGGGGTACTATAAGAGGTCCGATTGTCATTCACTAACACCCTGGAGGGCTAAATTCCTCTCCCACCCTGAATAGCCTCCCTCCTATTTATAGTCATAGGATCATTAGACACTGCCTTGGACACAGCTTTGAATTCCAGGTCTATGATGTAAGTGCTGTGTGTCCCAGGGCAAGTTACTTAACTTCTCTGAATCTGTGGTCCATCATGTGATAAGCTGTTGAATTCTTCTCACAGATGGGCTCTGTTTGGGCATAGGTACTCACTTGAGCTTCCATGGGTTCTGGGCCAGAAGTGGCAGAAAGGGCATGGTGTACGGATGGAAGAGGTAGGGAGACAGCTGGTATGGATCACCTGCATTTGCAGAACTTCAGGTTCCCAGCCTCCAACCCCTACATTCACACACACACACACACATTCTGATTCTGTGGACTCAAGAATCTGCCAAATATTAACAAGTGCTCCAGATGATTCTGATACAGGCTCAAGCAATCCAGGTCTCGTGTCTGGGAACCAAACTTGTGGGAAAGGCGATGGGATTTATAATTTCACAGGCCTAAATTTAGGTCTCACGTTCAATGCTGTCTCTACAAAAACCCTCGGGTACTCTGATCTCTGCCTTCCCATTTGCAAAATGGGCATAACAACAGTCAGCCCCGCTCTCCTTAGCTGCCGTGGCTGGCAGAAGGCTCAGAGGAGGCAGTGCATGTCCAAAGTGCCTTGAAAATTCAAGTGCTCTGCACGTGTTTGTGTTATCTGGATGCCACAGACAATCCACAGCCGCCTTTTAGCCAAATGCCCCACGTGCCCGTGCCCCTCCTCACTGTCCATAGACCCACACTCCTCAGAAGCAGCGAGTCACTGGCGTTCCTGTTTGGGGGAAGCTCAGTGACAGCGGAGAGCCTCGTCCTGGGGTCTGCAGCTTTGCAAAGCCCCAGAGGACAGGGCTGCTGAGCAGGAGCAGAACAGTTCAGGAGGCTGTGCCTGTCTAGGTCACGGGGCAGACGGGAGGGACGCCTGCAGGGCCCATTGACACAGGCACAGGTTGGCCAGAGTTTTTTAGGGCAGGAAAGGACCTGGGGGATCATCTGGCCCCGCAGCACCCAAACCCGGCTGCACACTGGAGTCGCGGGGCCTGTGTTAAACGCAGATTCCCAGGCTCCACCGAGACCTTCTGGGGCCCAGTGAACTCTATTTTTAATAAGCTCCCAGCTGATTCTGCGGCAGCCAACTGTGTCTGCAGCTCTGCATTCGGAAATAATTGATCGAGACCATAGGAGTTCCTTCTGTGTTTCACAGAATCCTTGGGTTTCTTGGGGGTGAGAGAGGGGGCGGGAGCCTAATAATTAGGACTCGGCCGCCCACACACCCCCACTTCTCCATTTTAATCTATGCGTACTTTCTCTGTTGAGGTTCTAGGGGAGACTTCTCATAAAAACAGCGTCTCTCAGCTTTAAAAAGGTTTGAACACCATTGGTCTATTAATACCTTCCTTTCTCAGGTGAGGAAGCCAAGGCCCAGAGATGGTAAGTGACCTGCCCAAGGTCACACTGCTGGTTAGAAGGGAGGTGGAGCTGGAAACCAGGTCTCCTGACTCCTGAATCCCAACCCTTGGTGTCTGTCTGTCTGTCTGTCTGTCTCTCTGTCTCTTCTGAGGAGACAAAGGGGCTGCTGCCACCTCTCCCACACCTGCCCACCTCTCCCACCTGACCCACGCTCTGGAAATGCCTTCTTATCGGCAGCCAGCTTCCAGAATCCCAGCACCCTCCGCTGGTCCTCAGAGGCCCAGCCGCAGGCAGTGAGGTCAGATCAAGACGATCAGGACGTGGTCCCAGAGAACAGGCCCGGAGCCTGTAGCGGCCTCTAGAGAGACTGACGGAGGCTGGGGATCGAAGCCGGGGAAGGGAGGAAGCCAACACATGGAGAGATTTGTTTGTGTCCCCAGCACAGTGAGAGGTTTGTTTCCTCCAGAAGACAGGAAACTGTCAATAGAAGCTTTGGATTTGGGGACTTTATGTTTTTAATTTTATTGTAGACGATTGCATTTCTATTTTTGACACAGCACTTAACTTGCCGATTTGTATGAATTATTAATACCCCTCGGGTATGCGGAGTCCCGGTGCCGGAGGCCCCTCCCAGAGAGGGTTGGGGCCAAGGAGAGGGTGCTGGGCAGAAGGGTCCTCCCTTTGTCCTCCTCCATGGCCTCACTTGCCTTTGGCCCTGTTGGTGTTATCTGGGTGCCACAATCAGATCTAAAGACCACAGTTGCTAACTCACACAGGGCACCTCCCCCAGGAACCGAGGCATTGTGCAGAGCTGGAGAGGAGCTGCCAGGAGCCTGGCCCTCCAGCACCCCCCCGCCCAGGGATTCCTGCCACCAGGCCTTGAGTGTGCCCACAGGACACTTCACTTGCCCAGCTGTGCTGAGCCCATTCCAGTGGACAGCTTTGCAAAGAGCCTGGGGAATTATTTCCTCTCTTTTTCTGAGCTCTCAGACCTTTCAGAGGAGAGAACCAGGTGTGAGTAGCTTGATGAGAGCAGGCGCTGCAGATGGACATGGTGGCAGGAGATGTGATCACCCCCATTAGGAGTTCCCAGTCTGATGGAGGAGCTCAAGCCCAAGGAGGGGTATAGGGGTTAGAGACCTGGGTTGTCTGCAGTTGGGGAATATCAAGCATTCATTCACAAGGATCCCTGATTCCCCCACGAAATGTTGGAAGGAAACATGCTGTGCTCCAAACTTTCCCACTGAGCTCCTCAGGGAGCCCTGGTCTTGTCGTGTGTGTGTGTGTGTGTGTGTGTGTGTGTGTCTACATGAGGGCCCCACAGTGCTCCGCAATAGGGAGATAGGAGGGATAAGCGCTCCCACCCCCAAGAAGGCTCAGAATGGTTTTTCAGGGTCAGAGTATCCTTGTCCACCCGAGGGCTGCAGAGGACGACTCAGAGGACGGCCAGAAAGACTCCTCTTCCCTCAAGAATCCCTAAGCTTGCAGGGTGCAGTGAGAAATGCAGGCCCCTGCCACACCCGGGCTCCCCCACCTCCTCCAGGCGGAAGAGGGGCCCCTCCTCTGAGTAGCTTTTCCCTGCCGCTCTCCTCACACACCCACTCCTCTCGCTGTCCTTCCTCCCCCCGCTCATTCCCCCTCTCAGCTCCTTGCTGTCTGACTTATGTGTGCAGGAGACATCTGAGCTAAAAGGCCTCCCACTTAATTCATTACAAGTAAATGGAATGATATTGAAAGATGTCTCTGGTCAGCAGGATTTTCCTGCCTAAACTAGCTGCCTCAGGGTTGGCAATTATCAGTGCTTAATAATTGTGTGTTGAACTAATTGATTAATTAATTGTGGGAGAATCCTCAATCTCCATAAGGGAAATAACTACCTCTGGCCGGGGAGAGGCTGGAAGGGCAGCAAGAGACAAGAGCAGGCTACGATTTCTGCTGGATAAAGATCTAAGATTCATGTTGTATTTTAAAAGTTACCTAATTATAATACCACACGGCAATACTAAGGGAAAGGAAAGTCATGCCCTGCTCCACTCACAAAGCCCACCCGCTAAGGCGACCACCCTCAAATCTGTTAGTTTCTCCTGGCATTTTCCTCCACGTTTCTTCATACAACTCTAAGGATGTTCAGTTTCGTGAGAGCAAAGGTTTTTCTTCTGTTTTCTTTGCTCCCTGCATTGTTCCTTTTGCCTATTTGTCTGCTTTGGTTTCCTTTCATGTCAGAGCCTTCCTGTTAGAAGTCTTCTTCTAACAAGTCTTCTTCATGTTAGAATCTTCTTTCATGTTAGAGGCTCCTTTCAAACACCCGGTGCTCCTTGGCCACCTGCTCAGGTTTTACCATGAGCCCCAGAAAGGCTGGCTGGAAGCCTGGGTGCAGGGATAGAGGCCGGGTGTGTGGACTGATGGGATCCTCAGATATCAGAATCTGCAGGTCTTTCCTTCTGAGCTCTCCGTGTCCCCGAAAGGAACCCTCCAGAATCCTGCCACAGGGAGGATAGTCTGGGAATCTGCATTCTAGGAGCTGAGCAAGGAAGAGAGCAGAGGGCCTGATCCTTCACAGGAAGAGCTCTGCAGGATCCCCATTTCCCACAGGACCCCACCCTTGGCTTGGAATCCCTGTGTCCACGGCCTGTGTGGGCCAACCTTGCTAAACTGCCAGTATTGGGAAGCCATCTGTCTATTTGAAAAGAGGGCACAAAAATCTGGGGTCTAATTCCCTCTTTTCTTTTTTTAAATCCTCACCAAGGATATTTTTCCATTGATTTTCAGAGAGAGGGTGGGAGAGGGAAAGATAGAGAGAAATATCAATATGAGAGAAACACATCGATTAGTTGCCTCCTGCATGTGCCCTGACCAGGGCCTGGGCTTGGAAGGAGCCTGCAACCAAGGTACATGCCCTTGACTGGAACCAAACCCGGGGCCCTTTGGTCCGCAGGTCGATGCTCTATCCACTGAGCCAAACTGGCTAGGGCTAATTCCCTTTCATACGTTTTCAAATAGTACTTACTCTGTTTTATCACACCTGCACCTTGGCCTTCCGAGGTTCCTGCTGTCTCTGACTCCTGAGCTTTTCTGAGGTTAAAGAGCAACCTGGTGTCTTCCCACACTCCCTTGCAGGCACTTGGCATTGCTGAGGAAGCAGAAACCTCAGCAGTTCTGTTCCTCCGTCTGCTTTTCCTTCCAGCAGTGACATCTCTCATCCTCTATAGTCTCCGCCCCTCCCCATTCCTTTTGTCCTTATAGGTTTATATCTCCCCCTTTACTCTGGAATTAGGTGGGTTTGGGGAAGAAGTGGAGGTAAATGCATGTTCCCAGATCACCATGTTCAATCATGGTCTCTGTTTTTCCTCAGCACTTTATTGCGTACCAATGTGAGAGCGCTTCTCACCTGATACTTTAGTTCCCTGCTTTACCTTGTCTCTCTCCCCCATAGACTAGGAGGACAGGAATCAAGTCTTAATCATATTTTTATATCTTTAGTGTCTAACAGTGCCTGGTAAGTAACAGACACTCAGTAAATAAATGTGTGCTGAATAACTAAACAAATTGGCCTCAGTCTGCCCATCTCTAAAATGGGGCTTTGGTATCGTGATGTCCAACCTTCTATGCTTCTGTGGTTGGGGAGAAAGTTCCACTAAGGAAACAGGGCGGTCCCTTAGGCCGTCGCCACAGTGCCACTTCCAGGAGAGAGTGGCCTTAGGACTGCATCTCAGAAGCACCACCTATGCAGTCTTTCCTCCTCTGTTTCAGGGAGCAGTGTGTGCCCAGCCTTGCCCACCAGGGACGTTTGGCCAGAACTGCAGCCAGGACTGTCCTTGCCACCATGGAGGGCAGTGTGACCACGTGACTGGGCAGTGCCACTGTGCAGCGGGGTACATGGGGGACAGGTAAGGATGATGTTAACTCCTGTCCTTGCTGTTCATGGCACTCATTTGCACGGCAGCCTTGCAGAGAGCAGCTGATATGTACCAGCCCACAGCGTCCTCCTGCCAGCATTCCCGTTCCTTTCTCAGAGAGCATTCTGAGTCCTGCCAGGGAGATTTAGCAACTCCTCCTTCCTCACCCTTGGGCTGCTGAATGTAGCCCCTCCCCTAGCCCAGGGACCTGAGCCCTGAACTTGCATTGACTCACCTGGGGAAGCAGGTGAGCACCTACCAGCCACTCTCTACTTTCTGCCCGCCTGGAGGGAAGCAGTGGCACCAACAATGCAAAGAAGCCAAGAGTGCCAACTCATTTCACACATTTTGCACCATTTCTTCTAGGAGTGGGTTTGTATTCCTAATGTGAGCTCTGCCATCAGTTTGCACCCTCTGAAGGCCTACGGTCTGAAAGCAGACCGACAAGAACACCAGTGTCCTGGGATCAAACCAGCCTTGCAGAGTGCATGTTCCCAGATCACCATGTTCAATCATAGTCCACAAAACACATAACTAGGAAATAACTGCATGGGCACATTTGCCACAGTAGGAAGGATGCCATGGTAAGATAGGGTGCTATGGAAGAATGAGAAACAACCAGTGGGTGGGACCAGGAGTGTTCCGGTGTCTGGCGGTGAGTAGACTCAGAGCTGGAAGAGGGCATTTGCCCACAAGACTGGGGTCAAGCCTCCTTCCTTCCTTGCACTCCCATCCACATGTTTCTCTTTGGGCAGAGAGAGGAGGCCCTCAACCCCCCTGCCTGGTTCTGGGGACCCATGTTTCATCTCTGGTTCTGGATTTGCTTGCTCTGCCCAGACAAGGTGGGATGAGAGGAACGTTGGTCTCCCATTCCTCCGCCTCCCCTGTCCAGGTAACATCAGGAAGCAGAGACGGGGCTGAATCAACCAATGAGCCCTTCTGCCTCTGACCGGCGTAACTGGGCTCCTCCAGCTCTCACTAGAGTCAGCCCCACATCCTCATGGATGGCCAGAGTAGAGCTTTTCCGTTGTTTGCCATGGGGTTGCTTTCACCTCTTTGTGAGCCAGGGTTTATCTCCATGAGCTTCGCAAGCGCAGAGCAGGGGGTGTGACAGCTGGGGATCCGGCCCTCCATGATCGCTGTCAGACACTGGGTCCCTGCGGGGAGGAGGGGAGGAAGGACTGAAGCCCTGAGCCCACCGTCCCACCCTCACCATCTTCCCCCAGGAGGGAAACGCTCAGGATGAGCCAGTAGGGTCAGGAGCGGGGGGTGGGGAGCCAGGACAGGACCCCTTTGTTTCAGCCACTTTCACAGGATGGGGAATGTAACCGCTTGTTGGAGAGGAGCAGGCCCAGGGCTCCAGCTGACTGGACTCAACACCGTGGGCCCTGCTTCATTGGCACTCTCCGTTTTCAATGCCAGGATGTCCCAAATGGAGAAGTCATCCATCCCTCTCCTTGTTGGGGTCCAGCCCTTGACCTTGGAGCGGAGAGAAATCTCAGAAGCCTCAGGGTCCTCTAGCAAGCTTCACCAATCGAACAACAGAGAAGAGTTCAGTAGAAGGACCGGGTAACACTGGGTTTCCCACCACAACGGGCTGCCTGGTGTTTAATATTTTGTAAAATTGCCTCCATGAATTTTGTAGGTGACAGCTGCATTAACCCACCCCACATCATCACGAGCATATTAAAACTGAGTGGGTGTAATAACGCAGGCCTCCCCGGATAGGCAGAATCCAGTGCAAATTAAACACGAAACGTAACGAGGGCTTTGCAGCTCATTTTGTAATTTAATTGAGCAATGTATCTGGTTGTTAATGGCAATATCAGACACATTAGATTGATATGTTGCAAAGGAAGGATGTT